AAAAAAAAAAAAAAAAAAAAATGAATGTGCTTGAAACAGTGAGTAGTGTGTCCCTCCCCCCACAATTTCTTCATGAAATTTTAGGGCTGATTATAATAAGGTAAGTAATGGTTTGAGCAAAGGACATGAAGTAATGAGATGGATTAAACATTTTTTCTTTCTAAATTCTTGATCAATTTTTGTACAACGACGTGTCCCCTACACGACCAGATGTGTTCCATGTGTGTTCCAAATTGGACAAAATAAAAATAAACAAGAATGCTAAAAACACTATACAAAAGAGAGTGTCCATGTTTCTTAGCATATGTCCATTGAAACCTACCTGTCAGCTTCGTCCAATATTACCACTTTGTGTCGACCAGGAGGCAAGGTTACTTTCTTTTGAGCAAACATCTTGATTTTGTTCCTCACAACGTCGATTCCCCTAAACAAGAACACAGGTTAGAAAAACATACAGATCCAGTAACATTGGAAATGTTTGAAGCATAAAAAGCATAGAAGGTGCCACCTTTCATCTGATGCATTAAGCTCCAGAACACCATCCTTGTAATTTGGTCCCAAAAGCTCGTGAGCAAGAGCCAGAATACTGGTTGTCTTCCCAGTTCCAGGCGGACCCTAGAAAACAAATATATAGCAACAGAGTATCACCAATAGCAAGACAAAAGGAAAAACCTCATCCCACATGATTAGAACCTTTTGAATTTCACTTGCCCCCTACCAATTGTGAATGAATTTTTTAGTATATTTCACTGCAGTACACTAAAACCCCCCAAAAATAATAAAAAACAGGATAAAATTCGAGCCTTATTAGTTCCCAAATCCCCCGGTGCCCATGAAAACAGTTCAAAGAATGAAAAAAATGTTCAAGCTGCATGATTTCCTACTTCACATAACTAAGTTTAAAAATTAAGCAACCCTATGTCCCATAACTGAACTACGACATCAATGGCGGCAATGTAAATTGAACAGTGAAAATTCCGGGAGGAAAAAGCGATGGAGAAGTACAGATAATATGAAATTGGGCATGTTGCCGTCGCGAGCAATGACTTGGAGCCGAGAAACTGCTTCTTCGTTGCCTACAATGTCAGCGACCTTGCTGGGCCTGTACTTCTCCACCCATGGCATGTCGTAGCTGCTGCTGCTGCTTCCTGAAGAAGACGCCATGGATTTTCTTTGTCCTTGCACAGATGAATGTGGCTGTTCGAGGATGGGTAGAACAATTTGAAGGAGAAACTCGGCCCTTCCCACTTCGCGCCCTCGGCTTGGCTTGGCTTTTTCTTTTCAATATAAAAGGGCAAAACCCCTTTTTTTTTTTTTTTCTTATCATTAATGACAGCTTTGACCCTGCATTTTTTTTATTTTACCAAGAATACCCTCCCATTTTAAATTTTAATTTTTATTATAAAAAGTAAAAAGTAAAAAGTAAAAAATAACCCTTTTTACTTTAAATTTAAAATTTACTAGAATAAAATTTTGATAGAATGTTAAAATGAAAACGGGGACACGTAACCATGTGAGAGTCACTTGATATCTCACTTGAATATTGATATATCGTTTCAAGTCTCTATCTCGATCCAAATTTTATTAATTTTTTTTATTGAATTCTAAATCGGGTTGTTGGGTTGGTAAACCGAGCAACCCCAATAAAATTCACAGTCCAGATTAAGTTGGGTTCAGCCGTGGGTTATGCTTAAAAAAAGAATTCTACTCATCTGTATTACATTAATAACTAAAATCTCATAAAATTTAAATATCAGACATTCACAATTATAATACATCACTGACATTGACAACAAAAGTCAAATATTCTTAATATTCATAATAATCTTAAAAATATGATTGTAACTCAATTTTTGAGTTGGTCGGAATAACCCAATAAAAAAAAACTCAATCCAAACTAGAAAAAAAAAATCTAATCGAACTTAATTTTTATAGTTTGAATAAAGTAGTCAAGATTAGTTGAATTCTCGAGTCATAAAAATACCTCTATTAGTCTTTTTCATCTCCCCTTTATAATATTATTGGTATTAACGTATAATAATAATAATAATAATAATGATAAAAAATAAATAAATAAATCTTCGAAATATAAATATATAAATTTAATATATAATATCTAAATCAATTAAGTTACGTGTTGACGTTATTTTTATAAAATTCGTAAATACATATTTATTTTATGCTAAAGTTCTTTTTTCGTGTATCACATTAACGATGAGATGTTTATATTATATAATTATAGTATAATAAAATTTTATTTATTAGTTTTTAAGACATTTTTATTGGAATTCAACGGATTTATTTATTTTCCCTATATAAATGTTTTTAAAAATATATTTTATTTAAGACTAAAGGGCAGTGTTTGAAGAGGAGAGAGTCCATCGTTCAACAATAAAAAGCCAATTAACTTTCGTCTTAGATAGAGATGCTCATTTAACTTAAGGGACTATAAAATTCATATTTAAATGAAGAATGATGGAAGGAGTGGAGAGAGATTTCTCTGTGTTAGCTAAATGAGATGGAAGACGGAGATTATATTCTTTGTTCTTATCTCTATTTTAGTCTCAGTCCCTATCTCAAGTCTCGGTTTTTGCATCAATTCCCGCTTAGCTAAAGTATTATAATATTAACGATATTCGTTCGTAATTTTTTTTAAAAAAAAAAATTTAAAGATAATTTGGTTAATTTAGCATAAAAAAAAAATAAAGATTTTGAGGTGAATCTAAAAAGAAAAAAAAAACATGATGACGACACGTCGTGTGATAAATGAACAAGTTCCCCCCACCAGTAATTTTCAGTTTATGAACAGAGAAAACGACACGTGGTTTCGATCCAATCGGGCGTGTCCCACAGGTGGGGAGAAAAGACAAATAATTACAAAGAATCCGCGATCCCGGAGACACCATAACAGGTCGCGCCATTCCCCTTTCGCACCACGACGAAGGAATCTCAATTCCTCCCCCCTAGGCCTCTTCGTATCATCATCATCCCCTACTTTTCCCCGGAGCTCCGATAATCCTTCACCTCTCAATTGGATTTTCCCTCTTTCGTTGTTTCTTGCTCGGGATGAAGCAAGTCAATTCGCGGACTTAGGGTTTGATTCATTGTTTTCCGAATTTCTAATGGCATCTTCAAGGTCTCCGAATGGATCGTCTGACGATATCGTTGATACCTCCCCCTTGATGGGGAATTCGAATCGGTCGCTTGATGAAACGCATTCGGGTCGGCGATTTGTGCAGAGGCAAAGTCTGCGTCAGGCGGCGAGGTTTCTGAGGCAGGCGAGTAGTCGGAGGACGATGCGTGAGCCGTCTATGTTGGTCCGAGAGACAGCTGCGGAGCAATTGGAGGAGAGGCAGAGTGATTGGGCGTATTCGAAGCCGGTTGTCATCCTTGACATCGTCTGGAATTTCGCTTTTGTTGTTGTTGCTGCTACCGTTTTGGTTCTGAGCCGCAACGAGTCTCCTACAATGCCTTTGAGGTTGTGGATTGTGGGGTATGCGTTTCAATGCGTTCTCCATATGGTGTGTGTTATTGTGGAGTATCGTCGCCGCCAGCAGCGGCGCTATTCAGACTTCAATTCGATGGATGAGGGAAATTCTGCACGCGGGCTTTCCGGTTTGGGGTCGAGAGGGAACTCGAGTCATTATGTATCATTGGCGCACCTGGATGATAACGACACCAGGTTAGGTTATATATACGTTTTTACATTAAGATTTAAATATGATGTTGTCTTTTTCAGAAGTCTGTTTTATGATGTTTGACATGCAGTGATTTCGTAATTGTTCTGATAGGAATTATAAGGAACCCAAGTAGAATTTTTTTGTTTGATAGAGATGATATGTTTGGTTATATGCAGCATGTTTAGTAAAGGACATGGATTCTGAGTTTGCTTTTCAATGGGAAATGTTAGACTATTAGGATGATTACATCAGCTGAGCTTTTCTCCAGCTGCACAAATGCTTAGAAATTCGAAATGTTTGGTTAAGTTTACTATCTTGGACGTCAATATATATATATATCATAATTCTTACCTCCAGGCGTGATTGATAAGGAAGGATTGATACAACAGGAACCATTGTTCTCTTTACATACCTATTTTCAACTAAACCACCCTTGGCATCAAAGTCTCATCATGTAAAACATTCACGTAGTCTCTGGCGCAGTATGAAGGCAACTCATAAGAGCTATTATTGTTAGTCGTTTGTTTAGTTTATCATTAAATTATTAAACTGAATTTTTCAGTTTTGTTTTTTATCATGAAACAACTTCTGGTTAAATAATGAAAAAGAACGAGTGTTCAAGGGATACAAACTCCCATAGGGGGTGAAAAAGAAGGAAAAAAAGAAAATACAAAACTACAAATACACCCATAGAGAGATTTAACCATGAAAAGAAATATTGAAAGAACAAAAAAAGTTTTTCAATATCTTCGTCTGAAAGTCTTGGAGAGCTTGCAAACAATAGCTGAAGCTATGCAAAAGGCCTCCACCAATCACGTAACATTTAAACCTATTACATTCTTCTAAAGAAAATCATAAACCAACCTCCAACCTTGCCATCAAGAAAAACGTATGAAACAGCTGCTATGCTCATTGAAATTAAGGTTGCAACAAGGTGACAAACCAAAGAGCTCAGCCTCTAAGAAGACAAGGCAAGACCATGCCTAATTTTGAGTGTAAAGCTGAGAGATTTTGATATAAAGCAGAGAGAGAATCCTAGTTTCAGCTCTGAATGAGGTTTTTATCTGTGTTTGTTGTGGCTTCATTCACAACATACCAAATCTTAATAAGAACGATCTTGAAGGAGAGATTTCTCAATTACTGCCCCCACACTATTGAAACTATTAGTTGGCCTATTCTTTCAAAACCAAAAAACTGTCAATTAATTAATGAGAAGATTCATCCCCAACCCTTCGATAACCTTTCCACTGGATTTTCTATAAATCGAGCCAACCTGTTAGAGAATTCCCCAAGAACTCTAGAATTACTTGAGATTAATTTCATTGGAAGGGTAACAATTGGGAGCATCAAACATTTATCCGAGGTGATGAAGATGGGATTGCATGCATCTTAAGATCGCAAGCCTCAATAAGAAAAGCTAACTTACTAGAAATCGACCAAGTGGACACTATAGGGGAAACTTCTTTGAACTAATTAGCAATTGAATTTAATGATGGGCCAACAACACTATCTGAAAAAAAAAAAAAAAGAAGAGAAAATGAAGCTTCAAAGTTATCATCCATGCAATGATCAACCTCATTTCTTCCCAGTACCTGTAAATTCAACAGAGGCTCTTTGACTCCAAAATATTGATGCTAGCAACTTATTCCCCATCAGAATCATGAATCGATGAGGAAGAAGGTGAAAGCTCATTACAATTAGAAGAAATTAGACAAAAAAGAGGAAAAACAAGGGGAAGTTTTAGAGATTGTGGAATGAAAGGAGATTGAGAGGGTATTAATCAAGTAGTTGATTGTTATTGGAGTTGTATTTCATTGTATCACCTTGTATGAAAGAAGGTGTGAGAAGTAGTTTTTCCTCAGCTTATATGTATGGCTGCTCTGTACACAATTTAATAATGATAAAGTGCTGAAAGGTTCTCTCCTGCATTTTTCTGGTTTCTTTACTATCATTTTGACTGAGCTCAACACAGTCGAGGGAATATTCCGAATCCAATTGCATTAATCAACTCTATTCATCTATGAATACAAGCATAGCTTAGTAGATAAGATATCATATGACTCTACTTTAGGTGATTTGGTCCTCCATCCTTGCAATTATTGAACTTCAAAAATTAAGTAATAACTCTACTTAAGAGCCACGTACACTTGAAAAAGCATAAGAACAGACTTTTGGAACAATATGTTGTAGGATGTCACTCTTGCAAATGGTTTGGAGTGGATAGATTGATTCAACTAGATTTTATCAACCTCAGTCAATTTTTTTTGCAATTCCCCAAGTTAGGTAGTTGTTATCTGTAATGATTATGGGAGTTTGTTTATGTTTGTTCTTTTTAGTTCTCTTTCAAAGTCGGGTTAGAGTTGTGAATCTTTTCTAGATTTTGGTTCTTTTGTATAATGTTGATACTCTTTTGTAATTTCCATTTTATCAATGAAAAATGTTTCGTTTTGTTCTTTAAATTTATAGAGATGTGGGGTGGACAAATTTTGTGCTGGTTTTTTCTTTTTATCTTTCGATGAAACTTTTCTAGTAAACAATGGCAACCCCACACTGTGTAAAGAAATCTGGAAAAGCAAAATTCCAAAGGTCCCCTTTAATAACTATTTGCTTTTTTCTTTTTTTGTTTTGGTTTTTGAAAATTATTGCTTGTTTTCTCCCAATTTCTTTACCATGCCTTGCATCTTTCTTAAGGAATCATTTGAACTCTTAACCAAATTCCAAAAACAAAAACAAGTTTCTAAAAACTTTTTTTATTTTTTTATTTTTATTATTATTTATTCTGATTTCCACCGGGTGGAAGCTCAAATGATTAGAAGGGAAGTCTTCCACTTTACTACGATTGACTTTATAAGAGAAGGAAGCTCCACTCTACTGGGATTTAGAGATATCTAGATACAGGCCTGCTCTCAATAAGAAAATGCCAAGAATATCCCATCACATCTATAGCTGATCAGTATTCGGGCAAAAAAATGAGTACATCATTTTGCATATTGTAGGTGACAGATTTCCACGAAATTTCTCCCACTTTAAAACCCTTTAGGATATTCCTTCCACAAGAGAAATGAATTGTACGGCTGAGGGAGTCTCCAATAATAGTGGAAGGGGAATGGCATAGGGGATCGTTGGGAGCTTGCCCAGTTGTGTTCTATCAGTTTGGCACACATGGAGGAGATAGCTGGAGATTTAGAAAGAAAATTACGTGGTTGCCTTGAGGATAGAAATAAAGGAGGCAAACGAAATCATCTTGTTAATCAAGGAGATCGACTTACTGCTTTTAAGGGGAGGATTAGTAGTTGGAAACTCATGGGAGAAAGATTATTGAACGTTGAAAAAATGGATATGGAAGTCCATTTTATTGTTGAGAATACAAAATAAAGGATAATTTCAAAATGAGAATATTTATAGAGAACACCTAAAGAGAGGCATTGGAACGTATCCCACCCCAAACTTTTCTTAGAACCTCTTAACATCCCTAAATACTCCTATTATTTTCAGTCCATAAATTCCATAGAACTTCAGGAAAAAAGGCAGTCTTCCAAAGAACTTGATCCCTTATCACCTAATGGACTAATGAGCACTAAGTATGTAGAAACAGGCTACTTCTTTTTCTTTATCATCATCATTACTATTTTCGTCGAGTAGTCAATTACATTCTCATTGTCCAGCATGCCTCTTTCGAATCTTGCCTTACAGACATTTATAAATCTACTTCCAACACAAAAACTTCTTAGCTTATGCTTGCGAGCTCGCGGAATAATGTTAGATTATAAAGCTGACTATAATCTGGTTTGATATTAGTAGAATTTTTCACGTAACAATAGAATTTCTGTAATTGAGCATGCGTCTCTTTTGTTCTTGTATTTGTTTTTTTTGCATGATCTTCTATTTCATTTCATCTATCTCAATGAAAGTATGTTTTGTAAAAAAAGAAAAAAAAAAAAAAGATTATAAAGCTGATTCATTAGCTGATCCTTCCAATTTTCTTTATATCTCCTATATTCATTTTTTCTGACACGACAGTGTAGCAAAGCACCTGGAATCTGCAAATACTATGTTTTCCTTCATCTGGTGGATCATTGGATTCTACTGGGTATCTGCAGGAGGCCAATCTTTAGCACACGTCTCCCCTCTGCTTTACTGGTTTGTGATTATTCCTTTCTTGTACCGGATTTTGAAGTTGATGATTACGTTTTCATAGATTCTAACATCTATTAATGTGGTTTGAACTGCAGGTTATGCATCATATTCTTGGGTTTTGATGTCTTCTTTGTGGTCTTCTGTGTTGCTTTGGCATGTATCATTGGAATCGCTGTTTGCTGTTGTCTTCCCTGTATCATTGCACTTTTATATGCTGTAGCAGACCAGGTATTTTATGGTGTCACTGAAGATATTTTTATGTTTTCATTAAAGGGCAAATATTTTTGTGACTGTTATCTTGTTGTCTCCATTTTTGTTTTTTTTGACATTTCCACATAACAATAAGATTCTGTATGATTTTTTTCTGCTTTTCCCATTATAAACTATAGAAGTAAAAGTAAGAAAGGGAAGGAGACGGGAGCTGTCTCCTTTTATTGTGTCATTTTCATGTATAAGATTGATCGACTACCATTAGAAATGTGTATCAGAGAAAGCGCATGAGGAAGGAGGGTGTAATTAGTTGGTTAAGAAGGGAACAACTATTTTGTAACTAGATTCTGGGGCTGACTCAAGGGGAGTGGGTCAGGGTACTAATAGGGCAGGACAGAGTTGAGTAAGGTGCGTTTTGGCTTAAGATTGGGTGTACTTGGGAGAGATGGAAAGCTCTAGAATTCTTCCCAATCAGCTCTTATCAAAGATTCTCTCATAAAATTCTTCTTCTATATATTTGCTTGACACCCTTCTTCTTTGTTGTAGTTTGTCTCGAGGTTATTGAAGCCTCGTTGAAGAATGTAGGATGCAAGGGGTGGGATCCCTTGTACTCGGTTATTACAAGAGAGAGAGAGAGAGAGAGAGAGAGAGAGAGAGAGAGAGAGAGAGAGAGAGGGGGGGGG